GGGAGGTGTTGAATCGTGAATAAACTAACCTCCTAGGGCACTTGTCTCCAGATTTTGGCATGCTTGAGACACGATCCAGGAGCTGAAACACTCTCCTGCTTGCCCCAGCAGCTTTCATTGCAGTTGTATATAGTCCAGACAAAGAAGATACAGACGAGCCAACTGCAGGCAGAAGGATAGGCAAAAAATGAGTATTTATGAAAAAAGGGAAGCTTTCAAGGAAGCAAACACCTTTCTGAGTAATAATTAAGTGAGATTGAGAAAAATGGAAGCTTGGACGTAGAACATTGGTTTAACATAAAGCATCAGGTGATTTAACCATCACAGGCAGAATGATAATGGATAGTTGCATAAAATTAAGGATTTAGAAAGAATTTATAGCACCATACCAATGTTTTCTACCTAGATTAACACTCAGTTCTCCTCATTCTGTGAAGAATATTGCAAGGCACATATTGTGACAAGTTTCTCTAGCAAGTGGTTTGTGAATTTTGGTCAAACATCAGAATTTAACTTTCTCAAATATTTTCCTTGAAGATTTCAAACATGTTTCTAATTGAAACAAAAATTTGTGGTTGATCTGCGTTAGTATTCAGTGCAGGCAGTTGAACAGTGAAGGGTACCTGTGAGGCTGTAAAGAATGAAGGATGTAAGAGAGCCTGTGGTCATGAAGCCTGTTATCGTCAGGTATGCTCCATAAACTACCACTACAATTACAGATAATGTAGATGCTGCATTTAGTCCTCCAAAAAATAGGCCAACTATCCTCTGTAGTAGAAAAGATTAAAAAAAATACACAGAAGCTCAGAAAAAGTTTCTATCCATGCAGACGGAGAGAGGGAGAGAGAGAGAGAGAGAGAGAGAGAGAGAGAGAGAGAGAGAGAGAGAGAGAGAGAGACTCACTGCTTGTTTGAGTCCTAGCATCAGCGTCTCATCAACTTTTTCTGAATAATGTGAAATTGTGAATTCTTCTTGAGCGAAAGATCTAACTGTTCGAATGGCCCCAAAAGACTCCTAAAAATCAATTTTACTCAGGAAAAGAAAGGGATTTAGAACCTTCCTAACCACACCAAATGCCAAGTTTGTTGTTATTTTCTTTATGATATTCATATTAAATGCTTTAACTGATTCTGAGAATGTGGTTTTGCATAAGAGAGAATAAATAATAGATAGGATAACAACAAGTAAAATAAGCATTTCTCTTTCCTACAAACCTCAGCTATGGAGGCGGCCACAGCAGCTGCACCTTGAGTTGCATGTGAAAGTTCACGAAGATAGCGCCCAAATTTCTTAACTGCAACTGAAATAACTGGCACTATGGCCAAAGCCAACACTAACCAGGAAAAAAGATACAATAAGCAGAATACCACAGTGATAAAACAGCAGAATTATAAACCCTTCGACATAAAGAAATACCTACATGTTAACTTCCATGATGATGAAAACATGAAGAAAACACCAATCAAGGCAGTTGTTAGATTACGGAATGCCTCAGAAAGATTGGTTGTTGCGGCATTTTTTATGATCTGGGTGTCCTCTGACAGTCTGCTGAGAAGTTCCCCCGTTCGAGTGACATCATAGAAGGCTATTTCCTGTTGAGGTAAAACCACGTCAAAAGTAAGGAGTTTCTGAGTGGCTGGATGATAATGAGGAGAATATAAAAAGATAAATCTTGAAAATCAGTATCAGCAAATGATTTCCATAGCTCCGTACTGCATAACCAGCCATCTCTGTGATACTTCAACAAATAATTCATAGTTTTTAAAATATAATAAAAAATTAAGATTACTATAGATCTGTCTATAAGCTTAAGCTCTTTAACTGAGTGGATGTTAACATGGTATCAAAGCCTATTGGTTCAAAAGACCGTGTTCATGCATCAGTGATCATCAACTATAAAAGCATATATAAAAACACTTTTCAACGGACCCACGAAGAGAGGTCACACATCACACATATTTCCCATAAAAGAGGGGACATGCATGGAGTAATACAACATAAAAAATACGGTGTTGCATGAACTAGTGTAATAAAAAATGTTGCAACAGACATTTGTAGTTTTGTGGATTCAATGACTAAGGGACTCACCTGATTGATAAGGTGGCTGAATAAGTCCTTTCTTAAACGAGCTACAACCCTTTCACTAGCTGAGGAAAATAACCATGCCCGAAGTGCAGTGCACAGAGAGCTAAAACAAGTGAAATGGAAAAATATGGTTGGTAAACTCTTTAAGAAATCTAACTCATCTAAAACAGGTATCTGGATGAAGCATTTTTTTATGTTGTGATTAGGTAAAGTACGTGTCTATGATGAATTAAATTAAAGATGTAAAATCACAGTGCTATTTTGTAGAGAGTAAAAGATTCAACATTGTAGAGAGCAATAGCAAATAGAAATTTTGAGTGCAGCCAAAACAAGAAGAGAAGAGGCCAAGATGAACTGGAAAGGAAAATAAAATTGTCACAGGTAACAAACTAGCATGAATTTCTGACGAGATCTATGGTGTTCACTTTTAACTTTTTGCTATATTTAGGGAATCTTAGGCAGTCTTAGCTAACATTTCACTTGAAATTAAATACAAATTAAGCACTAAAAATAATGCTCCGTGTTCAGAATTACTAAAACCAAATGAAACAATCTTGATTGGCACATCAAGGACTTAATGTTGACCGAAGCAGAAACTTCTAGGTAGCAGAAGTGACAAGTTAAATTACATTTATTCATGGAAATTTTAGGCTTTAGCTTCATTTACAAACTTCCAGGCTAAGTTGTCATAAATGCTAGTATTGCAACTAGTATTGCACCTCGCTATGGGAGGAAACTATAAGCTGATCAATGACCTATGGTTCTACACATTTACCACGGATTTGTCATAAATGCTTTTCTAAGGAATAACTTGCTGCATGTCATACAATTTGGAAAATACTAATTTACTTAATAATACATGATTGTAATTCCCAGGATATACACTAACTTGTGTGCCTTTGCTCTTATTTTCTCTGGTAACAATAGCATATGTGCATGGGTTCTTATTTTCTCTTCCAAATGCTGTTGTGATAACTTAGGCATGCAGGGTGGGGGTTTCTCTCTCTCAAGGAGCATTTTGTTGGGCACACAGTTCAGCCTCAATGTCCAAGCATCTCAAAACAACTCTCATCATGTGTCATTAATTAGAGTATAGTATCATTGATTCTTCCAAAAGAACACCTCAGAACCAAGGATCCGCGCTTCAAATTAATGGCCTCATGGCAAACATTGAATAGGAAGCAAACAGGTAGACCAAACTGTTAAGGCTTTAAATCTGAGACAATTACATCTTTAAATTCTGTAGAAAACCTTAGAAACAAACCACGCATCGTAATGTTTAAGAACAGCTGTTGCAATCACCAAATTCTTTATTTTGAAGAAGGGAAGAAGAAAATATTTTTAAGTGGTACATAACAAAGAACAAGCCATTTTCTAGAAGAAAAAAAAAGGAAAGGAAAAGAAAAGAAAAGGAACAAGTCATATAAAATACTAATTTAACTACCAATCAGGGTCGTAATAAGATCATATCAACACAAATCCTATTTCATTGTGGAAGCAAGCAAAACTGCAATGAGGAAACAAATGAAAAGTGGAAACAAATAAATTTATAAAAGGGATAACAAAGCAAATCAAACATAATAAAATGATGTGGAAGTTAAGCTTTGTCGTACCCAACTACAACAATCAACACAATATATAATATGGTGTTCTTGACTGCATCCAGAGCTTCCGATTGCTGTTCAGGAGTCTTTATATCTCTTGACACAATGTCTATGATCATTCCACCATATTTTGGCTGCAACGTAACTTATAATATGTGAAGGCACAAACATCTTAACGGGACAAGAGCCTAGAGACAAGTCAAAGTTCACTTTGAACTAGTGTTTTATTTTAAAATCAAAAGGATAGTTCTCTTTCAACTTCTTAGAGCTTGCAATGTTTTGCTTGTACATGCCACTGCCTTAGACAGGACTGATGCTTAGTCATTAAAGAGTTGAGAATCTTAGCAAAATGAGAAGAAAAGAGCAGGTAGTTAATTGTTTAGAAGATTTGTAAAGCTCAAGATACTGGTACAACTACAAGTTAATTGTTTAGAAGATTTGTAAAGCTACAACTAAACGAACAGAACTAATGGAAGAGAAGTAGATTACGATAAGAAGACTGGATGTGGACGCTATCAACAGTGCAATGGTGCCAACAATCAACTTCCCTGCATCAGGTTTTGCCTGTAAAATAAGAGATTGATAGTAGATTAACACGTATCTTTTCAATTTTTCCCAAGAAATAATCAGAAATAACTGCCACTCACCAGCGCAAAAACTCGAGAAAATCCAACATTTGCGGCCTGAATTTTCCAAATTTTTAACATTAATAAAAACTTCAAGAAGATGGAGAACATAAATGTTCAAGGACATAACATGAAAAACCACAACCTCTGTTCCGCCTCCAAGCTCAAGGTCAGTTGCAGGACCATCAGGTGACTCGCCTTCATTTGATTTCCTCTTTGCCTACATAAAATCAAAGTGAATCAAATGCATCTTTCATGTTAATGTGCCAATATTTAATTTCCAAAGCACTTGGCTAGAACAGAAGACTTCATTTCCAAATCCCATATAAAGCACTTGGCTAGAACAGAAGACTTCAATTCCAAATCCCATTTATCCTTTATCATATCCCACATGAATGATTAATGGAAAAATTTTAGGAATCCATACAAAGACCAAATTATCAAAAAACTCATGATCATGATAAGAACCGACACCACCCTCCTCGATGAAACTGAAAGTTTCAAGACCCAACAAAAAAAAGCAGCCAAGACGAAACAGAACTGTAACATTTCAAATTACACGCATTTCAAAATCCTCAGAAAAAGGAGAAGCTTGATGAATAATTAAAAATAAAAAATAACTGGAAAACCACGCCAAATTAAAAGATTTTAAGAAAGAACCAATATTTTATGTTTTTTCTCGAAGAAAAGAGAGAGAGAAAAGAAGAAAACTTCCCCATGCATGTAGCAAGCAATAAAGGCAATCAAAAACGTAAGAGCGTATGCATATAACAATAGTAAAATCTAGAGTGATTCAAGAAATACCCTGTAGTATAGAAGAAATACAAGGAAAATTAAATTACATCTTTGGAGGTCAAAAGAGAGACTCTTTCACTTCCCGAGGATGAAATGGATCTTGAGGTCCAATCCAGGTACTGTTTCTTGCCCATGAGCAACAACCACCTCCTCAGAATGTATCTCGGAGGAGAAAAGATTATCGTTATAGTTATTGTTGACGTTGCTGCCGCTTGTTATTTATTTAAACTACTAACCACCATTAATTATTGTTTTCGTGGTCGGTAAATGTTTTCGTAAAAATTTATTTGTTTATTTTAATTTTTTTAACATATATTTTTAAGTGGTCTTAATGAATTAATATTGATTTGTTTTTTATCCTCCGACCGTAACGGCTAACCCAAAAAGTCCACGTGCTTTACTTCCATTGCGTGTGTCTATTTTTACCTGTTTTTATTTTTTTATTTGTTTTTCAAGGAAATGCTATTGTGGTCCCCCACCCAAATTTATGCATTCTTAATATAAAAATCCATTGAGATTTAGAATATTTTTGCGAATATAACTAATGGAATATAAAAATCTAATCGTAGGATTTGAATTTAATACCATTTGGTATGATTCATGGAAAGTTACTTTGGGTTTTAAATTATAATTTAAATTTTTTTTATATAAATAATTTATTAAAAAAATAAAATTTTGTGCGACAAAACATGACTTAAATCAATTTTGTTGAAGAAGGGGGTTAGTACAAGTTATGTTTTAGACATATGTTTCAAGATGCTTAGGATTTTCTTTTAATAATATGTCTTCTATACTTTTATTAGCTATTTTTTATTTTTATTTTATTTAGTATTGTGATGATTATAAATTAATTTTTTATTATATAATAAAATAAAATAACTTATTTTTGTGAAGTTTATAACTTGAAATACAAGTTTAATAGGTTAATTAAAAAAAATTATTATGTAATAAAATAAAATAATTTAATTTAATTTGGTGCAGTTTATAACTTTGGATATGAGTTTGATAGGTTAATGAAAACATATCAAATTTATTTTTTTAATTTTTATATAATTTAATTTAAAATTAAAAGTAAATAAAGAATGAGATCATAATTTTTAGATGTAAAGTATTGTACCAAATGTAACGAAAACACCAATTTTTTTATTTTTTTTTGTGTGGTTGATCCATCTAAATATTATATTCTTAAGTTTCAACTTGGTTGAAGCTTGCACGGAAAATAACGCCGTGTGTAGATGATGAAGAATTGGAACCGGAGGCTCTACTGGGGGGCGGGGGAGCTATACGGGTGTCGACCTGGGGATGCACACGCCACATATGGACAAGTATCAAGGGACAGTATATTATGCTCTGTGCACACAGGACAACAATATGTACAAAGGCACACGCAAGGACAGTGCGTACCCTTTTTTATTACACCTCTCTCTCTCTCTCTCTCTGCATTATTGTGATTGGAAACTCCGTATAAATTATATTTTTTAAAATTTTAATTTTTTAAATAATTTTTTTATATTCTTAATTCATTTTATTTTACTGTAGTATTATAAAAATATAATTTCTTTTTAAAAAAATTATTTTAATATATTTTTAAAAAACATTAAATTATCGTCGTTACCATATTTTTTAAACAAGTAGTTTGAGATGGACTAGCTTGGTGGTATGTGCCATTAAGCATTCAAAGGACCCAAACATATAATTTTGCTGTAAATCTATCCTCGTGAACATTTCAAAAAATGCCATGCACTTTCCAATCTCAACCGTTAATTTTGTATGAATCTGTAACCATTGAATTTGCTTAGCCGAAGAAGTTAAGATCATAAATTCTATCATG